TTGGTCCCATTGGTGCCTCTCTCTATCCACCTGATGTTTCAATACTGTGAGAGGGAGAGGAAAGCAACACCTCTCGGATGACTGAGACTTCCTTCTTTCTTCCACACAATGTAAACGGTTGCTAGTGCAGACATCTGGCTACAGTCAGAGACACGCCGCTACGGTTACTACACATGGTTCATCCATCCATTACAACACTCAGAGACGCACAGGCACAATGTTCACATCAAAAGACGACGCACATGAATAAAGAAGGCTAGCGATTGGATCTCGCAGTTTCACCACAACGATCTGTTCCAGTGAAATACTGACGAGGCTGGAATACTGAGGAATGTGAACCTTGCTTGGTTAAACAAGACTGTTGTTTAACCAAGCTAGAACAAACTATACTGAATTCTGTTGTTTATCCAGGCTAGAACAAACCACATTGAATTCGGTTGTTTAACCAGGCTAGAACAAACCATACTGAACTCTGTTGTTTAACCAGGCTAGAACAAACCATACTGAACTCTGTTGTTTAACCAGGCTAGAACAAACCATACTGAACTCTGTTGTTTAACCAGGCTAGAACAAACTGTGCCCACTGCAACAGTTTACGATCAAAGCAAATAATTCAGTATGAAAACAAATGTAGCTTGACTTGAGCGCTCAGGGCATTTCCTTCAGAGCATGCTAATTACTTAAGTAAAAATACTATAAAGTACTACTTAAGTAGTTTTGGGGGGGTATCTGTACTTTACTTTACTATTTATATTTATATTTACATTCCTAAAGAAAATATATATTTTCCCTGACACCCAAAAGTACTTGTTAAATTTTGAATGCTTAGCAGGACAGGAAAATGCACTAATTCACTCACTTATCAAGAGAACATCCCTGGTCATCCCTACTGCCTCTGATCTGGCGGACTCACTAAACACAAACGCTTCGTTTGTAAATGATGCCTGAGTGTCTGGCTATCCGTCAATTAAAAAATCAAGAAAATGGTGCCGTCTGGTTTGCTTAATATAAGGAATTTTAATGTATTTATACTTTTACTTTTACTTCTGATACTTAAGTATATCTAAAACCAAATACTTTTAGACTTTTACCCAAGTAGTATTTTACTGGGTGACTTTCACTTTTACTTGAGTCATTTTCTATTAAGGTATCTATACTTTTACTCAAGTATGACAATTGGGTACTTTTTCCACCACTGATTACACAGCACTTAAAGGGCATCACAATACCTGTTTGGCTGAGTGGCAGTGATTGCTTTCAAATCTAATTAAAGGACAACCCCATAATGACAAGGACAACCCCATAATGACAAGGACAACCCCATAATGACAAGGACAACCCCATAATGACAAGGACAACCCCATAATGACAAGGACAACCCCATAATGACAAGGACAACCCCATAATGACAAAATACGCAATAATATCCAAACCAATCCAGACAGAATCAAAGCTGTCACTGTGATGGGCCAAAATAATGGACTTGTGTTGGTGTGGTGGCATAGGAGAAAGAACACACTGGAAACAATGTGGCTGCACACACACAGGGAGACACACACACACACACACACACACAGGGAGACACACACACACACACACACACAGGGAGACACACACACACACACACACACACACAGGGAGACACACACACACACAGGGAGACACACACACACACACAGGGAGACACACACACACACACAGGGAGACACACACACACACACACAGGGAGACACACACACACACACAGGGATACACACACACACACAGGGATACACACACACACACACACACAGGGAGACACACACACACACAGGGAGACACACACACACAGGGAGACACACACACACACACACACACAGGGAGACACACACACACACACACAGGGAGACACACACACACACAGGGAGACACACACACACACACAGGGAGACACACACACACACACAGGGAGACACACACACACAGGGAGACACACACACACACAGGGAGACACACACACACACACACACACAGGGAGACCACACACACAGGGAGACACACACACACACACACAGGGAGACACACACACACACACGGGAGACACACACACAGGGAGACACACACACACACACCAGGGAGACACACACACACACAGGGAGACACACACACACACAGGGAGACACACACACACAGTGAGGCAGAGGGAAGCCTTATCAAACGATGTAATTAACATTCAGACATCAGTAGCCCTGTCATTGTCATGACAAAGACGCTCACGATAATGTAATCACACCATTATGTTTTCGCCAAGACACGGACGGTGGTGGACGTCTCGTCTGCTTGAAAACCTGGTTAATTTGGGCTCAACAGCCAGCCGCTCTAGAAAGGCCCCTGCATTCAATTTTACATACAATTTGCATACAATTTGCATTAATGAATTGAATTTGAAGACAGAGCCATTAACGTACTGAGGAAGAGATGTGTCACCTGGATCAGCTCAGCACAACAGTAATGAACAACTTCTCTGTTTCCCCAGCATTACAGAGCACAGGGCTGTGTTCAGTGGGGCACACTGAAGTCAAATCTTCTGCAACAGGGAATAAAAAATCTGGACATATTCAGGTAGTACCTCCCCGTTTCACTCTGTTTCAAAAAAAGTGTATTCCTATTAATGGGACATAGCATGCTAGCTACAGCATGATGATGTATATTAATGGGACATAGCATGCTAGCTACAGCATGATGATGTGTATTAATGGGATATAGCATGCTAGCTACAGCATGATGATGTATATTAATGGGACATAGCATGCTAGCTACAGCATGATGATGTATATTAATGGGACATAGCATGCTAGCTACAGCATGATGATGTATATTAATGGGACATAGCATGCTAGCTACAGCATGATGATGTATATTAATGGGACATAGCATGCTAGCTACAGCATGATGATGTATATTAATGGGACATAGCACGCTAGCTACAGCATGATGATGTATATTAATGGGACATAGCATGCTAGCTACAGCATGATGATGTATATTAATGGGACATAGCATGCTAGCTACAGCATGATGATGTATATTAATGGGACATAGCATTCTAGCTACAGCATGATGATGTATATTAATGGGATATAGCATTCTAGCTACAGCATGATGATGTATATTAATGGGACATAGCATTCTAGCTACAGCATGATGATGTATATTAATGGGATATAGCATTCTAGCTACAGCATGATGATGTATATTAATGGGACATAGCATTCTAGCTACAGCATGATGATGTATATTAATGACCCTGGGCTAGCAGGTGGAGACAGGTGGTTCTGTAATGAGCTGTCCTAATGACTGGCTGTGTTCACCTACTATACATTCCATTCACTGTGACAGGAAACATTACCATTACCGCTCTATTGCTATCTCATTATGACTAAATATATTATCTGACCTAGCAGTCTGCCTACTTAAGGGTGTAAAATAAGTCACACTCTGATATAAGCTACATTTCCTGGTTCCCACTCACAGGCCCACTCTGTCTGCTCTCTGGGCTGTAGTGTGATGTTTGTTTATAACATGCTGTTCCTCTTCAGTATGACCCACTGGTTCTGACTATTCATGACCAGAGAGGTACCTAAGGCTCGATTCAATCCGATGTAGTGCAATTTACATTTGTTGTTGTGTTTGGCCAACTCTGGAGCTGGTCGACATGTTGTTGTGTTTGGCCAACTCGAGCTGGTGGCCATGTTGTTGTGTTTGGCCATCTCTGGAGCTGGTGGCCATGTTGTTGTGTTTGGCCAACTCTCGAGCTGGTCAACATGTTGTTGTGTTTTGCCAACTCTGGAGCTGGTCGACATGTTGTTGTGTTTGGCCATCTCTGGATCTGGTCGACATGTTGTTGTGTTTGGCCATCTCGAGCTGGTCGACATGTTGTTGTGTTTGGCCATCTCTGGATCTGGTCGACATGTTGTTGTGTTTGGCCATCTCGAGCTGGTCGACATGTTGTTGTGTTTGGCCATCTCTGGAGCTGGTCGACATGTTGTTGTATTTGGCCATCTCTGGAGCTGGTCGACATGTTGTGGTGTTTTGCCAACTCTGGAGCTGGTGGCCATGTTGTTGCTTCTATGTATGGCTCTGGTGGTCTGTCTGTCTGTGGCTCTGGTGGTCTGTCTGTCTGTCTGTCTGTCTGTCTGTCTGTCTCTCTGTGGGGGTGGAGGGGTATATGCATAGAAATATAATTATTAGAACGGACATTCCCATCCAAGTCAATGTTCTGTGATGGGTGGACCGGTGTCCATATTGAATGTACCCATGCAAGGAAGTAATATAAAGTCATTATATTTCTATGGGTATAGCTACCGTATGTACGTTCTGTATGTGCTAAGTTCTGTATGTGCTAACGTCTATAGAAGACTCGTCTAGTCTACTCCTATTATTAAATATAAATATGATTCAGTCTACAAGGCTCATGCTCATGACTTGATTATATATGTATTAACTTATTATTTTCTTTAATGTTTAAAATGGCGCACAATCTCATATTTTCTGTCCTCCGCCAATCAATGTCTTCCTGAGTACTGATACCGTCCAACATGATATCCTCTTACGCAGTTACTGAATCACAGGAAGGAATAGTGTCCTCTTACACCCCACTGGGCACAGACGTCAACTCAACATCTATCCACGTTGGTTCAATGTAATTTCATTGAAATGACGTGTAAACAACGTTGATTCAACCAGTGTGTGCCCAGTGGGACTCCTCTGTCAGGCTTTCACAGTATGTATATTTAAGTGCTACAGATCAAATGCTGGAAAGGTCCTGTTTATTATCAGTTGTCCTTGTTAATACCACGGTAATGTGTTAATACTCCCCTGAAGCTTCTGATTGGTCAGTTTAGTGAACTATGATTGGCTTTCTGTCCAAGGAAGTAGTCACAGTTTCATCCAATCACACCACGTACATCCCTGATCCATCCAATCACGTCACAGCGTACATATCGCCGGTCCGTACCATCTCAGACCACTATGGGGGTGTCAGAGAAGACCGAACTAATAGACTTCTTCCTCCTTCCCTTCCTCAGTAACCCTCCCTCCTCATCCATCTCTCCCTGGTCCCCGTCTCCATCGCTGGGGTTCACCTTCCCGTTCAGCCCCTGTCCCAGCTCCTTGGGGTCGATGAAGGCCACATGCCTTGGGTCAGTGTTGTTGGCCAGGTCCTCATGGCTGGGCGCGGCGCTGAGCATGGAGGAGTGGATGGAGTCCTGGTGGTTGTTCTTGGGGCAGCAGAAGCATCGGCAGGGGGTCAGGTACAGGTAGATGAGCACTAGGACCACGCTGGTCAGGCAGCCCACCAGCGTGGTGTAGGCCGTGTTCAGGGCTTCGCCGTTTCCGTTCTCCGTGAAGTTATGCACCTTTGGGAATTGATAAGAATGGAGTTGATTTGAATTGAATTGTCATTTACATTTTAGTCATTTTGCACTAATCCAGAGCGAATTGAATTGGTTTGAGCTGAATTTAATTTAATTGACATTTATTGATCCCCAAGGGGAAGTGAAGATGTCACAGGATCATTGGACATACACCATTACAACATGTACAGTTGAAGTCGGAAATGTACATACACTTAGGTTGGAGTTATTAAAACTTGTTTTTCAACCACTCCATAAATTTCTTGTTAACAAACTATAGTTTTGGCAAGTCGGTTAGGACATCTACTTTGTGCATGACACAATACATTTTTCCAACACTTGTTTACAGACAGATTATTTCACTTATAATTCACTGTATCACAATTCCAGTGGGTCAGAAGTTTATATACACTAAGTTGACTGTGCCTTTAAACAGCTTGGAAAATTCCAGAAAATGATGTCATGGCTTTAGAAGCTTCTGATAGGCTAATTGACATCATTTGAGTCAATTGGAGGTGTACCTGTGGATGTATTTCAATGCCTACCTTCAAACTATGTGCCTCTTTGCTTGATATCATGGAAAAATCAAAAGAAATCAGCCACAAGTCTGGTTCATGCTTGGGAGCAATTTCCAAATGCCTGAAGGTACCACGTTAATCTGTACAAACAATAGTAAGCAAGTATAAACACCATGGGACCATGCAGCCGTCATACCGCTGAGGAAGGAGACACGTTCTGTCTCCTAGAGATGCATGTACTTTGGTGCGAAAAGTGCAAATCAATCCCAGAACAGCATCAAAGAACCTTGTGAAGATGCTGGAGGAAAAGGGTACAGAAGTATCTATATCCACAGTAAAACGAGTCCTATATCGACATAACCTGAAAGGCTGCTCAGCAAGGAAGATGCCACTGCTCCAAAACCACCATAGAAAAGCCAGACTACGGTTTGCAACTGCACATGGGGACAAAGATCGTACTTTTTGGAGAAATGTCCTCTGGTCTGATGAAACAAAAATAGAACTGTTTGGCCATAATGACCATCGTTATGTTTGGAGAAAAAAGGAGAACGCTTGCAAGGCCGAAGAACACCATCCCAACCGTGAAGCACGGGGTGGCAGCATCATGCTGTGGGGGTGCTTTGCTGCAGGAGGGACTGGTGCACTTCACAAAATAGATGACATCATGAGGAAGGAAAATTATGTAGATATATTGAAGCAACATCTCAAGACATCAGTCAGGAAGTTAAATCTTGGTCGCAAATGGGTCTTCCAAATGGAGAATGACCCAAAGCATACTTCCAAAGTTGTGGCAAAATGGCTTAAGGACAACAAAGTCAAGGTATTGGAGTGGCCATCACAAAGCCCTGATCTCAATCCTATAGAACATTTGTGGGCAGAACTGAAAAAGCATGTGCCAGCAAGGAGGCCTACAAACCTGACTCTGTTACACCAGCTCTGTCAGGAGGTATGGGCCAAAATTCACCCAACCTATTGTGGGAAGCTTGTGGAAGGCTACCCGAAACGTTTCACCCAAGTTAAACAATTTAAAGGCAATGCTACCAAATACTAATTGAGTGTATGTAAACTTCTGACCCACTGGGAATGTGATGAAAGAAATAAAAGCTGAAATAAATAATTCTCTCTACTATTATTCTGACATTTCACATTCTTAAAATAAAGCAGTGATCCTAACTGACCTAAGACAGGGAGTTTTTACTAGGATTAACCGAGTTTAAATGTAATTGGCTTAAGGTGTATGTAAACTTCCGACTTCAACTGTATATACATTATGAAACAGTATCCACATACCTTCACCAGCACGTAGAGTGTCTCGTTGAGGGCTTCGCTCACAGCGTAGCACGTGTACGTCCCAGAATCCTCCGGCTTCACCGGGCTGATCTGGAGACTGCCGTCAGGAAGCACCTTGGCTGTCTGATTCGCCCCCTCTGTCACCACCACATTACCAGGCGTCACCCAGGTCTTAGACAGGTCCCTGTGTTTGGTATCACAGCGCAGGATCAGCGTCTGTTCCAGCCAAGCCTCCTCGTCCGCCTCGTGGAACGTACTACAGTTCATATGGTCTCTGTTCAGGTCGAAGACGCCCACCCTGCCTTTCTGGGGCCCGGGGAGATAGCAGGTGTACTCGTCTTTAAAGTCCAGGGCTGAGTTTAGTCGGCGGATGTGCCAATGGGCCAGGAGACTATAAAGACTACAGTCACAGATCAGAGGGTTGTTGTGGAAGTAGAGGCCGTTCTTTATCCAGGCAGGCAGCACCTTCAGCTCCTCGATGGGGGGGACCTACAGTATATAAGATTAAAATGTTTATGTCCTCAATGAGGAAATTCGTTTTGCAGCAATAGCATAAAAACTCAATGGACATACAAAGTATACTGAAAAAAGACAAATGGCACACAGGTCTTTCTATAAATAATAGGGCCAATGTGTGACATTGGGATAACATTTTCAAAATGGTTTGAAACCAAAATAAAAATGATTTTTATGCAGTTCCACATGTGTACTTAGAGGAATATATGCAAATTGGTCCATAACTCCACTTATACAACAACATAAGTCTAGGACTATACACACATACAGTTATCTGTAAGGTCCCTCAGTCGAGCACTGAATTTTAAACACAGATTCAACCACAAAGACCTGGGAGGTTTTCCAATGCCTCGCAAAGAAGGGCACCTATTGGTAGATGGGCAACAATATAAAAAGCAGATACTGAATATCCCTTTGAGCATTGGTTAAGTTATTAGTTACACTTTGGACGGTGCATCAATACACCAGTCACTACAAAGATACAGGCGTCCTTCCTAACTCAGTTGCCTGAGAGGAAGGAAACCACTCAGGGATTTCACCATGAGGCCAGTGGTGACTTTAAAACAGTTACATAGTTTAATGGCTGTGATCGGAGAAAACTGAGGATGGATCAACAACATTGTAGTTACTCCACAATACTAACATAATTGACAATGAAAATAAGGAAGCCTGTACTGTATAAAAATATTCCAAAACATGCATCCTGTTTGCAACAAGGCACTAAAGTAATACTGCAAAAAATGTGGGAAAGCAATTAACTTTTTGTCCTGAATACAAAGTGTTCTGTTTGGGGCAAGTCCAACACAACACATTACTGTGTACCACTCTCCATATTTTCAAGCGTAGTGGTGGCGGCATCATGTTATGGGTATGGTTACAATTGTAACGTAGACGCTGGGAGTCGAGAAGCAGGTGGCAAGTTTAATAAAACAAAGAACATGGAACGATACAACCTAGCATCTTGACATGAAACACAGAAACAATACTGCCTGGGGAACGAACCTAAGGGAGTGCCAGATAAAGGGGAGGTAATGAGGGAGGTAATGGAGTCCAGGTGCGCAGGAGCGCGTAATGACGGTTACCAGGACCGCTGGTTAGTAAACCGGTGACATCGAACGCCGGAGGGAAGGAGCGGGAGTAGACGTGACAGTAATCGTTAAGGACTGGGGAGTTTTTCAGGATAAAAAAGAAACGGAATGGAGCTAAGCACAAGCAAAATCCCAGAGGAAAACCTGGTTCAGTCTGTTTTCCACCAGACACTGTGAGATTAATTCACCTTTCAGCGGGACAATAACCTAAAACAGAAGGCCATGTCCACACTGGAGTTGCTTACCACGAAGACAGTGAATGTTCCTGAGTGGCCGAGTTACAGTTTTGTCTTAAATCTACTTGAAAACCTATGGCAAGACCTGAAAATGGTTGTCTAGCAATGATCAACAACCAATTTGACAAAGCTTAAAGAATTTTGAAAAGAATAGTGGGCAAATGTTGCACAATCCAGGTGTGAAAAGCTCTTAGAGACTTACCAAGAAAGATTCACAATTGTAATCACTGCCAAAGGTGTTCCTACAAAGTATTTATTCAGGGGTGTGAATACTTATGTAAATGAGATATTTATATATTTCATTTTCAATTAATTTGCGGACATTTCTAAAAACATGTTTTCACTTTGTCATTATAGGGTATTGTGTGTAGATGGGTGAGAAAACACATCTATGTAATCCATTTTGAATTCAGGCTGTAACAACAACACAATGTGGAACAAGTCACCGGGTATGGATACTTTCTGAAGGCAGGAGGTCATTAAGAGTTCAGCATGTACGGATTAATCCGTTTAATCCGCTTCTTGATATCCACCTGTCAGGTGGATGGATTATTTTGGCAAAGGAGAAATACTCACTAACAGGGATTATATATTTTTTTATGTGCACCATTTTTTTTTTTTATACGCTTATTGTGCTTATGGAAATATATTTTTGTTGGGTACAGATAACCCCCCCCCCCCCAAAAAAAAAAAACTAGACATTACCACTTTATAGATGCACAATGCAGAAATCGCTCCGCCATTTCCTGGTTGCTAAAATGTCAGTTTATGTGACAAAACAATTAAACATAGTGTAGAAAATTTCCCATAACCAAAAATATATTTCACAGCGTTTTAGATGGTGTAATGATTTTCTACACTATGTTTAATAGTTTTTTCAGCTGTTTGAAGCTGGTGTACAAAACCGAGACACAAAAATTTAACCTGAAGGGATTTTTTTTTTTTTATGTCAACTTCATATTCATCATCTCCAGCACCACCCCAACATCAACATATGTGAAAATGGCGCTTTTCTATGTTTTGTAGTAAAAAAGATAAGTGTTTCCAATGACATCGTCTGTGTGCGTCATGTGATCTTAACCAATTAGTAGGCATTGCCTACTAACTGTCTACTAATTGATTGATGTCATTGGAAATACTTATCTTCCTCTATCTTTTTACTACAAAACATAGAAAAGTGCCATTTTCACATATGTTGATGTTGGGGTGGTGCTGGAGATGATGAATCTGAAGAAATAGCGCACATAGAACAGATCTATCGCTTCTTATACTTGCTTTTAATGAGAATGACAGATCTATAACACATAATAATTCAGGTCACTGAAAAAAGTTACATACTGCAGCTTTAAGAATAAATAATTGTTTAGGCCTTGCCAATGCATAGATATTCAAATTATTATTACATTCTAAAATATGTTAGAATAATGTGGACATGCCTGACTAAGTAAATTGGATGCATGCATGACGATTTGTCTGTTATTTTATTTTACTGATGCTCTTTAGTTATTTGCTTTAATTTTTTTTGCTTAACACTTTTTTTATTTGTTTTACTTTGCATTGTTGGTTAAGGGCTTGTAAGTAAGCATTTCACTGTAATGTCTACACCTGTTGTGTTCGGCACATGTGGCAAATACAATTTGATTTGATTTGATTTGATTCGAATCTCACCATCATTTCCTTTTGTAATGAAAGGATTTGTATGGAAAAGCCAAGTTGAAGCCAGCATTAGATGTTGTCATCCTCATAATAACCGCACGTGGTTTTACCACAACAGTGTAGCCCAACACCCTTCAATTGAAGCGGCGGGAAACAAACGGAAAGTGGCCACATCTCTGAAAAAAAAAACAGATCAAAAATGAAATCAGGGATAATTATAAGGGCGCAGGAGAACATAAATTGGCTACAATAATTACAAGTACTTTTCAAGCACCAAACGGAGGACATTTCTGATTTTCAAGGTAGGACTCATGGTGTAGCGGTTCCTGGAGAAGTGGGTATATCTTCCCAAACGGCCGCCCGGTGAAGGAAAGGCTCCCTGTTCAAACGGCCCGCCCGGTGAAGGAAAGGCTCCCTGTTCAAACGGCCCGCCCGGTGAAGGAAAGGCTCCCTGTTCAAACGGCCGCCCGGTGAAGGAAAGGCTCCCTGTTCAAACGGCCGCCCGGTGAAGGAAAGGCTCCCTGTTCAAACGGCCCGCCCGGTGAAGGAAAGGCTCCCTGTTCAAACGGCCGCCCGGTGAAGGAAAGGCTCCCTGTGTGAAAAATTCTAAGAGAAACAGTGACACACTCTGAATGACCTAAAATGATCAATCCAATATCGGTATATATTTTGTGCAGTTACCCTTTAATTCAAGTGCACATGCACCTAGCACTGTTGTTTGGTTAGAGGTGTTTCTCAGTGGTGTAGTATAATGTACAGCACATACCTCCTCTACACTACTTTGATACGCATCGTGGGGAATAAGAAGTGAGTTTACGCAATGCTCACTGAATAATAGATAATAAGTGGGTATACACTCCACTACACCACTGCCTGGGCTATTCCAGTACTTCAATTTCTGAGCTCCAAATTCATGTTCAAGTAGGCTACTCCAAGCCCCTTGTATTGTTCACATTGCAAGTGTAACATGGAAACCGAATGGATTTGTCATGTTATTTCATTACCAGACCATATTGTGAAGAAGTCCACTAGGCTATGTCATTTGTTGTCATTATTACTTGGAATCATTCATAGGAATAGGGTTGGGTGTTGCGCAATAATATATCCTACACAACTGCGCACAGTAGACTCTGTGTCCCAACCGGAGGCACAAAAAAACATGACAACATGAACTCATTACCTTAATGCTTTCTCTGTTAAATCTAACGAGACCCTGCTGTAAATCAAGCAGACAACAACAGATGATCAACCTCAATTTGCTATGAATGTTAGATCCAATGTGAATACAGCCGCAACTGTCTTCACCGGTGTAACGAATGAGACGCCAAAATATTCTGGACATTCCTCGCGAACACCTTTTTTTTTTAAAGCACTTGGGCTGTTGTGGCGTCGCATGCGCTATCACACAACAGCTGTTTTTTTGTCACTTGACTGTCATTCAGAAAATTCCTTCCTGGATTAGATGATGATGTTTGATAATATCACGGCATTATTAAACAGCTCAACACCAAATGCGCATCCGACAAGTATTATGCATAATTATTGAAGAACCACGTTAACGACAGTATCGATTTTAAAACTATTTTCACCCCATTACATAAGGAGACGCGAAATGTTAAGTAGTTACACTGCATTTCTGAGATCTCTATACACAGAACTGTCAGACAGCTAGATCCATGATTCAATGTCTAATTTAACTGATTAATGCTTAATACATGATATAACGACTTACACTTCCATAAATGCAAGGACAGAAAAGTCATGTTTTATGTCACACGATTTTGGACAAATCAGTAAAGACACCAACCATGAGAAAGGGTTTAAACATCGCCTCGTGAATTGCATTGAATATAGAATTATCAACAACTGTAACAAGTTGTCCAGCGTAGGAAATCCTCACCCTAGTTTATAGAAAGACCCACTTGCACTTCTAACCTGTATTTTCATATTATTATTTAATATAGATTTATGAACCTTGATCCTGTTGGAGGAGAGGTCCACCAGGCTGAGTTTCTCCAGGCGGGTCTTCTCTTTAATCAGTTCCAGGGGGAAGCGTGAGATCATGTTCTGGGACAGGTAGAGTTTCTGCAGTCTGTGGAGACCCTGGAAGGCTGAGAGGTCAATCTGAGATATACGGTTGTTGTACAGCAACAGCACCTGCAAATAATATGGAAATATTGATTTTTTTATTATGAAATTGTACATTTAATCAAATAATTCAGCCATTCCTCACTATTTAAACTATGTAAAAGTCAGAATTGTAAAAACAACTATCTCTCTCTCTCTCTCTGTCTCTTTCTTTCACTGTCTGTCTCTCTCTCTCTCTCTCTCTCTCTCTGTCTCTGTCTGACTCACTGTATGACTCTATCTTTCTTTTGCAGCCTCTCTCTCTCTCTCTCTCTCTCTCTGTCTGACTCACTGTATGACTCTATCTTTCTTTTGCAGTCCTCTCTTCTCTCTCTCTCTCTCTCTCTCTCATCTGCTCTCTTCTCGCTCCCTCGCTCTCTCCCTCTCTCGCTCTCTCTCTCTCGTCTCCGCTCTCCACTCCTCTCCTCTCGCTCTCTCTCTCTCTCTCTCTCCTCTCTCTCTCCTCTCTCTCTCTCTCTCTCTCTCTCTCTCTCTCTCTCTCTCTCTCTCTCTCTCTATATATATATTCAATTCAAAGAGAAACATTGGAAACATGGGAAATATTGCCAAAGCAAGTGAAAAAACTAAAACAAAGCAACAAAGAGAATGAAACAAAACTTACACACACAAATAGTTTCAAGAGAATAACAATGTTTACATTTATAAATTATATAAATTATAATTATACTATTAGCAGTTTTAAATGTTACATAAGATATGTACAGTGTTCTGACAATGTGCAAATAGTAGAATGTAAGAATTACGGGGGGAAAATAAATAGGCAGATAAATACAGGTTATATTACATTGGTGTTTCTGACCCACTGGTTGCCCTTTTGTTGTGGCAGCAGATCACACATTTTGCTGCTGGGATTGCACACTGCTTGCTGTATTTCGCCTAACAGATATGGGAGTTTGTCAAAATGTGATTTGTGTTCGAATTCTTTGTGGGTCTGTGTAATCTGAGGGAAATATGTGCCTCTAATATGGTCATACATTTGGCAGGAGGTTAGGAGGTTATCTCTCTCTTGCTCACCTCCAGCTGCCCCAACGGTTCGAATATGAACTCGTCGAGCTGTCGCATGTCGTTGGAGGACAGGTCCAGGTAGCGCAGGTGTTTGACGTAAAGGAAAGCCTCGGAGGAGAGGAATTGGAGGCCGTTGTGACTGAGCAGGAGGTTGTGTAGCTTGGTGAGTTTCACCGTGGTCCACTCGGCCCTCAGCCGGGCGATGTGGTTGTAGCTGAGGTCCAGGACGGCCGTGTAGAGAGGCAGGCCAGTGGGCACCGTGGTCAGGTTAATCTTGGAACAGCTCACGATGTTACTGGCACAGATGCAGGTCTTGTGGCAGTTGAGGCTTGAGGCTACCGTCCCAGAAGGGAACCAGAGGAGGGCCAGGGAGAGGGAGAGGGAGAGGTACAAGGCCCATTGAACCTGGACCCTCCTCGGGCTGGGAGAGGGCTCCGGCAGGGCGCCTGCTCTGTGTGGAGGCAACATGCTAGTCGTTGGTGTGTTGTTGTTATTTAAGGAGCAGAACTTCCTGTATTATGAGTCTCTTTCTACACAGCATAGAGCGGCAGCTGGTGGAATCCCAGGCATCGCTTAATTGAGGTCTGAAATAAAAGCAAACCAATTATTTTTCTTGTAAACAGAGTTGGCTGTATCCATGCATTCACATTTTAAAGGCCCAATGCAGCCATTTTATATCAATATCAAATCATTTCTGGGTAACAATTAAGTACCTTACTGTGATTGTTTTCAATTACAATGGTCAAAAAGAAACAAAAATAGCTTCTTAGCAAAGGGCAGTTTCTCAAGCTAGAATTTTGTTAGGACTGTCAGGAGGAGAAAACTTAAAATTAGCTGTTATTGGCAGAGAGGTTTGGAACTCTATTTTTTATTGGTCTATTAACTAATTTACTGCCAGGCAGGTCAAATCTCCAACCCACCAAAACAGGCTGAAATCTCAGTCAGTCTTTTCAAACAGCTTTTACACTAAAAGGGCATTATCATCATTTTTACCATTTGACAGTATTATTCCAACATCAGTGTGGAAATATATATAAAACACAGGAAAAGCACGTGTTTGATTGCGTTTGGCCTTTAAAGGGGCAATCTGCAGTTGCTTCATCCATTTTTTACTTCTGAATTAATTAAATGCACCCATTGATTCTTGAAGAATATAATTTATGTCTCAAGAGCTTAGTTTATCTGTCGTACCCCATCAGAACCCAAAATAGAAGCTTGTTTTACTCCAATGTTAGTAAACAAAGCAAATGTAAACAAACATGGTATAGTCTCAAAACATGGTTCAAACTATAGTGTTGATATCATGGATGGTCAGTCCTTGTATCCATAGCTACGTCTATGCGTTTGAGAGTGGTTACATTTCTCCAGCCCTATCCCTCAGCTTTTTACCGAAACAGGGGTGGGGAAAACGCTTTGTTTCAAATGCTGTTTGCCGCTTTAACAAATAATTTGTTATTAATTGTGTTAGTTTCTACATGCACAGTGCTGGTGATTTCAATGTTGCATTGCTCCATTCCATTTGCTCCAAAACACAGCATGGATAAATTAATGGAAATGGTGATAAATTATAAATTATGTATCCTACCTTCACGTCAGATCAGATTAAGCCACCCTCAGCGATTCTCTGAAATTAAATCCATCCGCTGCCAAATCGGACACGTCTGTTTATAATTTGCACCTCGTCTTAGTCCCTTACAGTAATAGTCTATCCAATGTAAAGACAACAAGCGGGATGCAGGGAGAAAAGAGAGCGCTGGACAAATCCTTCCTGGCGGTATTACCCAGATCCTGACAACACACTGCTCCGCGCCGCATCCAAAACTCCGTATAAAATTACGCAAGGATAAGATTATGTAAAAAAAATCTAAGAACGCATGCCTTTGTTGGACCGGTGCCACTCACCCAACCTGAATTAATGACAGAGATCAATTCAGCGCCAGGTATTCTGATGATGTATTATGTTCCTGAGGACAAGTGGTCTGGTCAGCCAAGCGGCCTTCGATTCCTTACGTCTTCTGCAGCAAATCAGTGCGTTTTCTCTTCACGAGTCACATCGTCAGCAGCATCCCTGCGAGTTGAGGTGGTGAATCATGGAAGCGCATGAGCAGTCTTGTCAGGAGAAATTGTTCGTGATTTATCTTATTCATAACACTCCAGTCTGTGTACTGTCACTGCTGCTTACAGCAACTGGCCGATTTGTGTAGACGTGTGTATTCCTTAATAGACCAACGGGTGGCCTACACTCACACTGCGGTACCATCAGTAGCGGTGCTTGGGTAAATCCCTGGGGAAGCCAAGCCGCCCGCCCCCCCATAGAAGCCATATTATAACCTATGTATTGTGATAATTGCGTTGTTTGCTCTATAACCTGTTAGTTCATATGCCTTGCGATCGTGATATATAGGCCTATGACTGAGACAGTAAGAAGACACAGTGGCAGAATCAATTCAACCACACCTTTGTTTTATCACAAAACCGGATAACAACCTCTGTCCAGTGAAGTCCACAAAGCATATCGCATGGTATAGGAACAGACAGTTACATGACCTACAGCATGGTCAAGCAAGGTAATGTTTCCGACATTTTCGGACCACTAAACAACAAAAAATTTAGAACAACAGAGAGTTACCGCAAGTTGCAAAGAAAACAGGAGCTGCCTCCACTATTCCACCATTTCAACTTCAACATCATCAAATCACATCTGCTTAGTCTAACACAGTGACAACTAAAAGATACCAAAAACGATTTAGTCCAATAAGCGAAATATGATGTGGCTGTCCATGGTTCTGATTTCTGTGTGTGTGTGTGTGTGCGTTTGTGCAAGTAGAAAAACATGTTAACTCACCCTACTTGTAGAGAAACACCAATGCCATCCTCCTCTCTTTCATGTTGATGAAATGGTCTATCACTTTGTCATTAAGTACACTCTTTTATTTTTTGTTGTCCTAGGCTACCTGGCTAAAATGCTTGCTCGCTAGCCTAACTTCCATTCATGGGCAACGTTAGCTAGTTACCATTAGCCTTCTACATCTAGCTACATATTGAACATCCATTCTCTCAGGCCAGGGGCACAATGTATGAATTAATGGTTGGATCAGAATCACCTTTATAATCATTGGCCAGTATGGAGAATTACGTAAAACCACAAGTCCAAATCCCTATCTCCATCCATGGCTAATTTAGGAAAGGGCCAATTTTAGCTAGCTGGCTAGCTAGCCCAAGCTGGTTTCTCTTGACACTTTTGTTGGTGCGTGAGGACAATTGAGCTCGCTCAGTTTAGCTCAATGTCGATTGGCTAATTTTGTATACTTTTTTTTGTCAATGGAGGCCAGATGCTCGCTGGCTTCCCTTGACTTCAATGCTACGGGCAGCAGCAATGTCATACTCGTTTGGACCAGACAGCATCAGATAGATGGCCTACACATAGAGAGACAGAGGGGCGCTGTTTGGCTCGCTCGGATGTTTTCTCCAGTGAGATACATTCAGCCTCTTGCGAATTGAAGGAAAGTTATGAAACACAGAGAGACAAAATATATATATTATTGTTTTTGTCCCATTTTTGGGGGAAGCCAGGCTTCCCTTGGCATCCATGAATAACAGCAGCGGTCTAAGGCACTGCATCTCATTTACATCATTTAGCAGACGCTCTTATCCAGAGCGACTTACAGTTAGTGAGTGTATACATTTTTTTTTTTTTTTCATACTGGCCCCCCGTGGGAATCGTTCCCACAAACCTGTGGTTGCAAACGCCATGCTCTACCAACTCAGCTACATCCCTGCCGGCCATTCCCTCCCCTACCCTGGACCAATTGTGCGCCGCCCCATGGGTCTCCCGGTCGCGGCCGGCTACGACAGAGCCTGGATTCGAACCAGGATCTCTAGTGGCACAGCTAGCATTGCGATGCAGTGCCTTAGACCACTGCGCCACTCTCAGTGCTTGAGGCGTCACTACACACCCCCTGGTTCGATTCCAGGCTGTATCACAACCGGCCGTGATTGGGAGTCCCATAGGGCGGCGCACAAATTGGCCCAGCGTCGTCCGGGTTTGGCCGGTGTAGGCCGTCTTTGTAAATAAGAATGTGTTCTTAACTGACTTGCCTGGTTAAATAAAGGTTCAATTAGAAAAAAAGAAGAAAAACTAAATACACGTCACTGGGTACCACGACAAGCTGCTCTAGTACTAGGCTACAATTACTTACTATTGTATCCTAACGCTCACACAGAAGAAGACGCTATAGCCGGACAGCAGCATTTCCATGCGGGTGCTCGGTCTGGTCCTGTCCTGCTCTAAAGGATGGGCATTAAAGTGACTGATCAATTCCCTTCCCATAACATGTGTCCTCCCAGGCCATGATACAGTAGTATACATTTAAGATTTTCTCTGAGATGCATCTTCTCTGCATGGAAGAAAGAAAATCAAATCACTCAATCAATACAATAGTCTATACCCTCAGCTTAGTCAATACAATAGTCTATACCCTCAGCTCAGTCAATACAATAGTCTATACCCTCAGCTCAGTCAATACAATAGTCTATACCCTCAGCTCAGTCAATACAATAGTCTATACCCTCAGCTTAGTCAATACAATAGTCTATACCCTTAGCTCAGTCAATACAATAGTCTATACCCTCAGCTCAGTCAATACAATAGTCTATACCCTCAGCTTAGTCAATACAATAGTCTATACCCTCAGCTCAGTCAATACAATAGTCTATACCCTCAGCTCAGTCAATACAATAGTCTATACCCTCAGCTCAGTCAATACAATAGTCTATACACTCAGCTCAGTCAATACAATAGTCTATACCCTCAGCTCAGTAAATACAATAGTCTATACCCTCAGCTTAGTCAATACAATAGTCTATACCCTCAGCTCAGTCAATACAATAGTCTATACCCTCAGCTCAGTCAATACAATAGTCTATATGCTCAGCTCAGTCAATACAATAGTCTATACCCTCAGCTCAGTCAATACAATAGTCTATACCCTCAGCTCAGTCAATACAATAGTATATACCCTCAGCTCAGTCAATACAATAGTCTATACCCTCAGCTCAGTCAATACAATAGTCTATACCCTCAGCTCAGTCAATACAATAGTCTATACCCTCAGCTCAGTCAATACAATAGTCTATACCCTCAGCTCAGTCAATACAATAGTCTATAACCTCAGCTCAGTCAATACAATAGTCTATACCCTCAGCTCAATCAAAACAATAGTCTATACCCTCAGCTCAGTCAATACAATAGTCTATACCCTCAGCTCAGTCAATACAATAGTCTATACCCTCAGCTCAGTCAATACAATAGTCTATACCCTCAGCTCAGTCAATACAATAGTCTATACCCTCAGCTTAGTCAATACAATAGTCTATACCCTCAGCTCAGTCAATACAATAGTCTATACCCTCAGCTTAGTCAATACAATAGTCTATACCCTCAGCTTAGTCAATACAATAGTCTATACCCTCAGCTCAGTCAATACAATAGTCTATACCCTCAGCTCAGTCAATACAATAGTCTATACCCTCAGCTTAGTCAATACAATAGTCTATACCCTCAGCTCAGTCAATAAAATAGTCCATACCCTCAGCTCAGTCAATACAATAGTCTATACCCTCAGCTCAGTCAATACAATAGTCCATACCCTCAGCTCAGTCAATACAATAGTCCATACCCTCAGCTCAGTCAATACAATAGTCCATACCCTCAGCTCAGTCAATACAATAGTCCATACCCTCAGCTCAGTCAATACAATAGTCTATACCCTCAGCTCAGTCAATACAATAGTCCATACCCTCAGCTCAGTCAATACAATAGTCTATACCCTCAGCTCAGTCAATACAATAGTCTATACCCTCAGCTCAGTCAATACAATAGTCTATACCCTCAGCTCAGTCAATACAATAGTCTATACCCTCAGCTCAGTCAATACAATAGTCTATACCCTTAGCTCAGTCAATACAATAGTCCATACCCTCAGCTCAGTCAATACAATAGTCTATACCCTCAGCTCAGTCAATACAATAGTCTATACCCTCAGCTCAGTCAATACAATAGTCTATACCCTCAGCTCAGTCAATACAATAGTCTATACCCTCAGCTCAGTCAATACAATAGTCGATACCCTCAGCTCAGTCAATACAATAGTCTATACCCTCAGCTCAGTCAATACAATAGTCTATACCCTCAGCTCAGTCAATACAATAGTCTATACCCTCAGCTCAGTCAATACAATAGTCTATACCCTCAGCTCAATCAAAACAATAGTCTATACCCTCAGCTCAGTCAATACAATAGTCTATACCCTCAGCTCAGTCAATACAATAGTCTATACCCTCAGCTCAGTCAATACAATAGTCTATACCCTCAGCTCAGTCAATACAATAGTCTATATGCTCAGCTCAGTCAATACAATAGTCTATACCCTCAGCTCAGTCAATACAATAGTCTATACCCTCAGCTTAGTCAATACAATAGTCTATACCCTCAGCTCAGTCAATACAATAGTCTATACCCTCAGCTTAGTCAATACAATAGTCTATACCCTCAGCTCAGTCAATACAATAGTCTATACCCTCAGCTTAGTCAATACAATAGTCTATACCCTCAGCTCAGTCAATACAATAGTCTATACCCTCAGCTCAGTCAATACAATAGTCTATACCCTCAGCTTAGTCAATACAATAGTCTATACCCTCAGCTCAGTCAATACAATAGTCCATACCCTCAGCTCAGTCAATACAATAGTCTATACCCTCAGCTCAGTCAATACAATAGTCCATACCCTCAGCTCAGTCAATACAATAGTCCATACCCTCAGCTCAGTCAATACAATAGTCTATATGCTCAGCTCAGTCAATACAATAGTCTATACCCTCAGCTCAGTCAATACAATAGTCTATACCCTCAGCTCAGTCAATACAATAGTCTATACCCTCAGCTCAGTCAATACAATAGTCTATACCCTCAGCTCAGTCAATACAATAGTCTATACCCCCAGCTCAGTCAATACAATAGTCTATACCCTCAGCTCAGTCAATACAATAGTCTATACCCTCAGCTCAGTCAATACAATAGTCTATACCCTCAGCTCAGTCAATACAATAGTCTATACCCTCAGCTCAGTCAATACAATAGTCTATACCCTCAGCTCAGTCAATACAATAGTCTATACCCTCAGCTCAGTCAATACAATAGTCTATACCCTCAGCTCAGTCAATACAATAGTCTATACCCTCAGCTCAGTCAATACAATAGTCTATAACCTCAGCTCAGTCAATACAATAGTCTATACCCTCAGCTCAATCAAAACAATAGTCTATACCCTCAGCTCAGTCAATACAATAGTCTATACCCTCAGCTCAGTCAATACAATAGTCTATACCCTCAGCTCAGTCAATACAATAGTCTATACCCTCAGCTCAGTCAATACAATAGTCTATACCCTCAGCTTAGTCAATACAATAGTCTATACCCTCAGCTCAGTCAATACAATAGTCTATACCCTCAGCTTAGTCAATACAATAGTCTATACCCTCAGCTCAGTCAATACAATAGTCTATACCCTCAGCTTAGTCAATACAATAGTCTATACCCTCAGCTCAGTCAATACAATAGTCTATACCCTCAGCTCAGTCAATACAATAGTCTATACCCTCAGCTTAGTCAATACAATAGTCTATACCCTCAGCTCAGTCAATACAATAGTCCATACCCTCAGCTCAGTCAATACAATAGTCTATACCCTCAGCTCAGTCAATACAATAGTCCATACCCTCAGCTCAGTCAATACAATAGTCCATACCCTCAGCTCAGTCAATACAATAGTCCATACCCTCAGCTCAGTCAATACAATAGTCCATACCCTCAGCTCAGTCAATACAATAGTCTATACCCTCAGCTCAGTCAATACAATAGTCCATACCCTCAGCTCAGTCAATACAATAGTCTATACCCTCAGCTCAGTCAATACAATAGTCTATACCCTCAGCTCAGTCAATACAATAGTCTATACCCTCAGCTCAGTCAATACAATAGTCTATACCCTCAGCTCAGTCAATACAATAGTCTATACCCTTAGCTCAGTCAATACAATAGTCCATACCCTCAGCTCAGTCAATACAATAGTCTATACCCTCAGCTCAGTCAATACAATAGTCTATACCCTCAGCTCAGTCAATACAATAGTCTATACCCTCAGCTCAGTCAATACAATAGTCTATACCCTCAGCTCAGTCAATACAATAGTCTATACCCTCAGCTCAGTCAATACAATAGTCTATACCCTCAGCTCAGTCAATACAATAGTCTATACCCTCAGCTCAGTCAATACAATAGTCTATACCCTCAGCTCAGTCAATACAATAGTATATACCCTCAGCTCAGTCAATACAATAGTCTATACCCTCAGCTCAATCAAAACAATAGTCTATACCCTCAGCTCAGTCAATACAATAGTCTATACCCTCAGCTCAGTCAATACAATAGTCTATACCCTCAGCTCAGTCAATACAATAGTCTATACCCTCAGCTCAGTCAATACAATAGTCTATATGCTCAGCTCAGTCAATACAATAGTCTATACCCTCAGCTCAGTCAATACAATAGTCTATACCCTCAGCTTAGTCAATACAATAGTCTATACCCTCAGCTCAGTCAATACAATAGTCTATACCCTCAGCTTAGTCAATACAATAGTCTATACCCTCAGCTCAGTCAATACAATAGTCTATACCCTCAGCTTAGTCAATACAATAGTCTATACCCTCAGCTCAGTCAATACAATAGTCTATACCCTCAGCTCAGTCAATACAATAGTCTATACCCTCAGCTTAGTCAATACAATAGTCTATACCCTCAGCTCAGTCAATACAATAGTCCATACCCTCAGCTCAGTCAATACAATAGTCTATACCCTCAGCTCAGTCAATACAATAGTCCATACCCTCAGCTCAGTCAATACAATAGTCCATACCCTCAGCTCAGTCAATACAATAGTCTATATGCTCAGCTCAGTCAATACAATAGTCTATACCCTCAGCTCAGTCAATACAATAGTCTATACCCTCAGCTCAGTCAATACAATAGTCTATACCCTCAGCTCAGTCAATACAATAGTCTATACCCTCAGCTCAGTCAATACAATAGTCTATACCCCCAGCTCAGTCAATACAATAGTCTATACCCTCAGCTCAGTCAATACAATAGTCTATACCCTCAGCTCAGTCAATACAATAGTCTATACCCTCAGCTCAGTCAATACAATAGTCTATACCCTCAGCTCAGTCAATACATAGTCCCTCAGTCAGCTCAGTCAATACAATAGTCTATATGCTCAGCTCAGTCAATACAATAGTCTATACCCTCAGCTCAGTCAATACAATAGTCTATACCCTCAGCTTAGTCAATACAATAGTCTATACCCTCAGCTCAGTCAATACAATAGTCTATACCCTCAGCTTAGTCAATACAATAGTCTATACCCTCAGCTCAGTCAATACAATAGTCTATACCCTCAGCTCAGTCAATACAATAGTCTATACCCTCAGCTCAGTCAATACAATAGTCTATACCCTCAGCTCAGTCAATACAATAGTCTATACCCTCAGCTCAGTCAATACAATAGTCTATACGCTCAGCTCAGTCAATACAATAGTCTATACCCTCAGCTCAGTCAATACAATAGTCTATACCCTCAGCTTAGTCAATACAATAGTCTATACCCTCAGCTCAGTCAATACAATAGTCTATACCCTCAGCTTAGTCAATACAATAGTCTATACCCTCAGCTCAGTCAATACAAAAGTCTATACCCTCAGCTTAGTCAATACAATAGTCTATACCCTCAGCTCAGTCAATACAATAGTCTATACCCTCAGCTCAGTCAATACAATAGTCTATACCCTCAGCTTAGTCAATACAATAGTCCATACCCTCAGCTCAGTCAATACAATAGTCTATACCCTCAGCTCAGTCAATACAATAGTCCATACCCTCAGCTCAGTCAATACAATAGTCCATACCCTCAGCTCAGTCAATACAATAGTCCATACCCTCAGCTCAGTCAATACAATAGTCCATACCCTCAGCTCAGTCAATACAATAGTCCATACCCTCAGCTCAGTCAATACAATAGTCTATACCCTCAGCTCAGTCAATACAATAGTCTATACCCTCAGCTCAGTCAATACAATAGTCTATACCCTCAGCTCAGTCAATACAATAGTCTATACCCTCAGCTCAGTCAATACAATAGTCCATACCCTCAGCTCAGTCAATACAATAGTCTATACCCTCAGCTCAGTCAATACAATAGTCTATACCCTCAGCTCAGTCAATACAATAGTCTATATGCTCAGCTCAGTCAATACAATAGTCTATACCCTCAGCTCAGTCAATACAATAGTCTATACCCTCAGCTCAGGTGAGGGTGAGCGTTTCTGAACGCTTGTTATTGCAGTCAAGGCCATACATACACATTCAGTGTTTACTTTTTTACTGTTAACCACATTAGACTGGGGACCGATAGCAGATTTATCTCAGAGCTGAATCCAGTATCCACTCACAATATCCTTTCCTCACTTATATCTGTTAGAGAGAACTGGATCATTATTTTGATAAACACCTCATCTGAAAGGTACATGCAAAAGGACTTCATAACACTCATAAACATACAACACATTCATCATTATTACATACTGGTCCTGTTGATCTCATTTAGTATTTACCCTGTGATAACTGGTCCTGTTGATCTCAGTTAATATTTACCCTGTGATAACTGGCCTTATTGATCTCAGTTGGTATTTATCCTGTGATGACTGGTCCTGTTGATCTCAGTTAGTATTTACCCTGTGATAACTGGTCCTGTTGATCTCAGTTAATATTTACCCTGTGATGACTGGTCCTGTTGATCTCAGTTAATATTTACCCTGTGATAACTGGTCCTGTTGATCTCAGTTAATATTTACCCTGTGATGACTGGTCCTGTTGATCTCAGTTAATATTTACCCTGTGATGACTGGTCCTGTTGATGTCAGTTAATATTTACCCTGTGATGACTGGTCCTGTTGATCTCAGTTAATATTTACCCTGTGATGACTGGTCCTGTTGATCTCAGTTAATATTTACCCTGTGATAACTGGTCCTGTTGATCTCAGTTAATATTTACCCTGTGATGACTGGTCCTGTTGATCTCAGTTAATATTTACCCTGTGATAACTGGTCCTGTTGATCTCAGTTAATATTTACCCTGTGATGACTGGTCCTGTTGATCTCAGTTAATTAATATTTACCCTGTGATGACTGGTCCTGTTGATCTCAGTTAATATTTACCCTGTGATAACTGGTCCTGTTGATCTCAGTTAATATTTACCCTGTGATGACTGGTCCTGTTGATCTCAGTTAATATTTACCCTGTGATAACTGGTCCTGTTGATCTCAGTTAATATTTACCCTGTGATGACTGGCCTTGTTGATCTCAGTTAATATTTACCCTGTGATGACTGGTCCTGTTGATCTCAGTTAATATTTACCCTGTGATGACTGGTCCTGTTGATCTCAGTTAATATTTACCCTGTGATGACTGGTCCTGTTGATGTCAGTTAATATTTACCCTGTGATGACTGGTCCTGTTGATCTCAGTTAATATTTACCCTGTGATGACTGGTCCTGTTGATCTCAGTTAATATTTACCCTGTGATGACTGGCCCTGTTGATCTCAGTTAATATTTATCCTGTGATGACTGATCCTGTTGATGTCAGTTAATATTTACCCTGTGATGACTGGTCCTGTTGATCTCAGTTAGTATTTACCCTGTGATGACTGGTCCTGTTGATCTCAGTTAGTATTTACCCTGTGATAACTGGTCCTGTTGATCTCAGTTAATATTTATCCTGTGATGACTGATCCTGTTGATGTCAGTTAATATTTACCCTGTGATGACTGGTCCTGTTGATCTCAGTTAATATTTACCCTGTGATGACTGGTCCTGTTGATCTCAGTTAATATTTACCCTGTGATGACTGGCCTTGTTGATCTCAGTTAATATTTACCCTGTGATGACTGGCCTTGTTGATCTCAGTTAATATTTCCCCTTTGATGACTGGCCCTGTTGATCTCAGTTAATATTTCTTTACCCTGTGATATCTGGCCCTGTTGATCTCAGTTAATATTTACCCTGTGATGACTGGCCCTGTTGATCTCAGTTAATATTTACCCTGTGATGACTGGTCCTGTTGATCTCAGTTAATATTTACCCTGTGATGACTGGTCCTGTTGATCTCAGTTAATATTTACCCTGTGATGACTGGCCTTGTTGATCTCAGTTAATATTTCCCCTTTGATGACTGGCCCTGTTGATCTCAGTTAATATTTCTTTACCCTGTGATATCTGGCCCTGTTGATCTCAGTTAATATTTACCCTGTGATGACTGGCCCTGTTGATCTCAGTTAGTATTTACCCTGTGATGACTGGCCCTGTTAATCTCAGTTAGTATTTACCCCGTGATGACTGGCCCTGTTGATCTCAGTTGGTATTTCTTTACCCTGTGATGATTGGCCCTGTGTGTCTTTGAGGGGAATTGCACCCTAGGTCTTCACATCAGTGCTTTGTGTTGAGGATGACACCAGGAGACAGACAGTGAGGGAGACAGGGACACAGAGGGAGACAGACAGGGAGACAGGGAGGGAGGGAGGCAGACAGGGAGACAGGGAAGGAGAAAGACAGGGAGGGAGACAGACAGCGAGGGAGACAGACAGGAAGGCAGACAGACAGGGAGGGAGACAGACAGGGAGGGAGACAGACAGACAGACAGGGAGGGAGACAGACAAGGAGGGAGACAGACAGGGAGGGAGACGTGGAGGGAGACAGACAGGGAGTCAGGGAGGGAGACAGGGAGGGAGACAGGAAGACACAGAGGGAGACAGACAGGGAGGGAGACAGACAGGGGGGAGAGTGGAGGAGCACGGGAGAGGGAGGACAGGGGGGAGACAGACAGGAAGGCAGACAGACAGGGAGGGAGACAGACAGACAGACAGGGAGGGAGACAGACAAGGAGGGAGACAGACAGGGAGGGAGACGTGGAGGGAGACAGACAGGGAGTCAGGGAGGGAGACAGGGGGGGACAGACAGGAAGACACAGAGGGAGACAGACAGGGAGTCAGGGAGGGAGACAGGGTGGGAGACAGACAGGAAGGCAGACAGACAGGAGGAGCAGGGAGGGAGACAGGGAGGGAGACAGACAGGGAGAGGGAGGGAGACAGACAGGGAGAAAGGGAGGGACGAGGAGTAAGGGAAGGGAGAGGGAGGGAGACAGGGTGGGAGACAGACAGGGAGTCAGGGAGGGAGAAAGACAGGGAGAAAGGGAGGGAGACAGACAGGGAGTCAGGGAGGGAGACAGGGAGGGAGACAGACAGGGAGAAAGGGAGGGAGACAGACAGGGAGTCAGGGAGGGAGACAGGGTGGGAGACAGACAGGGAGTCAGGGAGGGAGACAGATAGGGAGTCAGGGAGGGAGACAGGGTGGGAGACAGACAGGAAGACACAGAGGGAGACAGACAGGGAGTCAGGGAGGGAGACAGGGAGGGAGACAGGGTGGGAGGGCGACAGGAAGGATCCAAGCTAGTAGACAACACAGTCACATCAAATCCACACCAAACCTGCTTACTATGCAGGCAAGCCATGTTTACTAGGAGTGTTTACCCCTGTGATTGATCCCATTTTGTATTGATGGATGCACCGAGCTACGGAGCAGGGAAACCTGATAATCCTAATCAGGCAGGTTGGTTTGCCCACCACCAGCTTTGAGGAGCTTTTTGATTTCTAAATGCTGCTATACTGGACCTTATTTGGCAAGGCTATGGATGCTGGATTGGGTCACATCAACAATAAAAATCCCTTTAGTCTCTGTAGGGATGCCCCTGAGACAGTTGCTGTCCACTGCCCTGTGGTGCTGAATTTCTCAATTCTGGATCTGTATATTTTGTTTTATGGCATCAATTTAAATCAGCCTTAGTTTGTTAGAAATAAACTTTATTATTATTTCTGACCATTGAGATGTGAAGGCCATTGAGATGTGAAGGCCATTGAGATGTGATGACCATTGAGATCTTTAGACCATTGAGATGTGAAGCCCACTGAGATGTGAAAACCATTGAGATGTGAAGGATATTGAGATGTGAAAGCCGTTGTCATGTCAAGACCATTGAGATGTGAAGGAAATTGAGATGTGAAAACCATTGAGATGTGAAGGCCATTGAGATGTGAAGACAATTGAGATGTGATGTCCATTGAGATGTGATGTCCATTGAGATGTGAAAACCATTGAGATGTGAAGACCATTGAGATGTGAAGGCAAATTGAGATGTGAAGGCCATTGAGATGTGAAGACCATTGAGATGTAAAGGCCATTGAGATGTGAATACATTTTAGATGTTAAGCCCATTGAGATGTGAAGGCTATTGAGATGTGAAGTGCATTGAGATGTGAATGCCATTGAGATGTGAAGTCCATTGAGATGTGAATTATATTGAGATGTGAAGACAATTGAGATGTGAAGGCCGTTGAGATGTGAAGGCCATTGAGTTGTGAAGACTGTTGAGATGTGAAGGAAATTGAGATGTGAAAACCATTGAGATGTGAAAACCATTGAGATGTGAATGCCATTTAGATGTAAAGTACATTGAGATGTGAAGGTCATTGATATGTGACATTCATTGAGATGTTAAGCCCATTGAGATGTGAAGGCTATTGAGATGTGAAGACCATTGAGATGTGAAGGCCATTGAGATATGAAGACCATTGAGATGTGAAGAACATTGAGATGTGAAAACCATTAAGATGGAAAGGTCATTGAGATGTGAAGACCATTGAGATGTGAAGACCAATGAAATGTTAAGACCATTGAGATGTGAAGGCATTGAGATGTGAAGTCCATTGGGATGTTAAGTCCAATGAGATGTGAAGACAATTGAGATGTGAAGCAAATTGAGATGTGAAGACAATTGAGATATGAAGAAAATGCAGATGTGAAGACCATTGCGATGTTAAGACCATTGAGATGTGAAGTAAATTGAGATGTGAACCAATTGACATGTGAAGACCAATGACAAGTTAAGGACATTGAGATGTGAAGGTCATTGAGATGTGAAAAACATTGAGATGTGAAGTCCATTGAGATGTGAAGTCCATTGAGATGTTAAGGCCATTGAGATGTTAAGCCCACTGAGATGTGAAGGCTATTGAGATGTGTAGGCCATTGAGATGTGAAGTCCATTGAGATGTGAAGACCATTGAGACGTAAAGGCCATTGATATGTAAAGGCCACTGAGATGTGAAGTTCATTGAGATGTGAAGACAATTGATATGTTAAGACCATTGAGATGTGAAGGTCATTGAGCTGTGAAGCCCATTGAGATGTGAAAACCATTCAGATGTGAAGGTCATTGAGCTTTGAAGACCACTGAGATGTGAAGATCATTGAGATGTGAAACCCATTGAGATGTGAACCAATTGAGATGCGAAGGCCATTGACATGTTAAGTCCATTGAGATGTTAAGGCCATAGAGATGTGATGACCATTGAGATCGTTAGACCATTGAGATGTGAAGTCCATTTAGATGTGAAGGCCATTGAGATGTGAAAATCATTGATATGTTAAGACCATTGAGATGTGAAGGCATTGAGATGTGAAGTCCATTGGGATGTTAAGTCCAATGAGATGTGAAGACCATTGCAATGTTAAGACCATTGAGATGTGAAGTCAATTGAGATGTGAACCAATTGAGATGTGAAGGCCAATGACATGTTAAGGACATTGAGATGTGAAGGTCATTGAGATGTGAAAAATATTGAGATGTGAAGTCCATTGAGATGTGAAGTCCACAGAGATGTGAAGGCTATTGAGATGTGAAGGCCATTGAGACGTAAAGGCCATTGATATGTGATGGTCATTGAGGTGTGAAGACCTTTGAGATGTGAAAACCATTCAGATGTTAAGTCCATTGAGATATTAAGTCAATTTAGATGTGAAGGCCATTGAGATGTGAGGACCTTTGAGGTGTGAAGACCTTTGAGATATGAAAACCATTGAGATGTGAAGCCCATTGGAATCTTAATGCCACTGACATGTGAAAACCATTGAGATGTTAAGCCCATTGAGATGTGAAGGCTATTGAGATGTGAAGACCATTGAAATGTGAAGGCCATTGAGTTGTGTACTCTATTGAGATGTAAATACCAGTGAGATGTGAATACTTTTAGATAAGCCCATTGACATGTGAAGTGCATTGAGATGTAATAATAATAACATCCCATTTAGCAGATGCTTTTATCCAAAGCGACTTACAGTCATGCGTGCATACATTTCAACGTATGGGTGGTCCCGGGGATCGAACCCACTACCCTGGCGTTACAAGCGCCATGCTCTACCAATTGAGCTACAGAGGACCACAGATGTGAAGTTCATTGCGATATGAAGGCCATTGAGATGTGAAAGCCATTGAGATGTGAAAGCCATTGAGATGTGAAAGCCATTGAGATGTGAAGGCCATTGAGATGTAAAGGTCTTTGAGATGTGAAGACCATTGATATGTTAAGCCCATTGAGATGTGAAGGCTATTGAGATGTTAAGTCCATTCAGATGTAAAGACAATTGAAATGTGAAGACCATTAAGATGTGAAGGCATTGAGATGTTAAGCCCATTGAGACGTGAAGGCTATTGAGATGTGAAGTGCATTGAGATGTGAAGTCCATTGAGATGTTAAGACTGTTGATATGTGAAGTACATTGAGATGTGAAGACCATTTAGGTGGGAAGACCATTGAGATGTGAAGTCCATTGAGATGTGAAGGCCATTGATATGTGAAGACCATTGAGATGTGAAGGCCATTGAGATGTGAAGGGCAATGAGATGTGAAGAACATTGAAATGTGAAGGCCATTGAGTTGTGTACTCTATTGAGATGTAAATACCAGTGAGATATTAAGAACTTTTAGATGTTAAGCCCATTGAGATGTGAAGGCTATTGAGATGTGAAGTGCATTGAGATGTGAATGCCATTGAGATGTTAAGTCCATTGAGACGTGAAGGCTATTGAAATGTGAAGTGCATTGAGATGTGAAGGCCATTGAGATGTTAAGACCGTTGATATGTGAAGTACATTGAGATGTGAAGACCATTTAGGTGGGAAGACCATTGAGATGTGAAGTCCATTGAGATGTGAAGGCCATTGATATGTGAAGACCATTGAGATGTGAAGGCCATTCAGATGTGAAGGTCAATGAGATGTGAAGACCATTGAAATGTGAAGGCCATTGAGTTGTGTACTCTATTGAGATGTAAATTCCAGTGAGATATGAATACCTTTTAGATGTTAAGCCCATTGAGTTGTGTACTCTATTGAGATGTAAATACCAGTGAGATGTGAAGTCCTTTTAGATGTTAATCCCTTTGAGATGTGAAGGCTATTAAGATGTGAAGTGCATTGAGATGTGAATGCCATTGAGATGTTAAGTCCATTGAGATGTGAAGTATTTTGAGATGTGAAGACCATTGAGATGTTAAGGCCATTGAGATGTGAAGGCCATTGATATGTGAAAAGCATTGAAATGTGAAGACCATTGAGATGTGAAGAACATTCAGAGGTGAAGGTCAATGAGATGTGAAGGCCATTGAAATGTGAAGGCCATTGAGTTGTGTACTCTATTGAGTTGTAAATACTAGTGAGATATGAAGACATTTTAGATGTTAATCCCATTGAGATGTGAAGACCATTGAGACGTGAAGGCTATTGAGATGTGAAGTGCATTGAGATGTGAAGGCCATTGAGATGTTAAGACCGTTGATATGTGAAGTACATTGAGATGTGAAGACCATTTAGGTGGGAAGACCATTGAGATGTGAAGTCCATTGAGATGTGAAGGCCGTTGATATGTGAAGACCATTGAGATGTGAAGGCCATTCAGATGTGAAGGTCAATGAGATGTGAAGACCATTGAAATGTGAAGTCCATTGAGTTGTGTACTCTATTGAGATGTAAATACCAGTGAGATATGAATACCTTTTAGATGTTAAGCCCATTGAGTTGTGTACTCTATTGAGATGTAAATACCAGTGAGATGTGAAGGCTATTGAGATGTGAAGTGCATTGAGATGTGAATGCCATTGAGATGTTAAGTCCATTGAGATGTGAAGTATTTTGAGATGTGAAGACCATTGAGATGTTAAGGCCATTGAGATGTGAAGGCCATTGAGTTGTGAAGACTGTTGAGATATGAAGGAAATTGAGATGTGAAAACCATTGAGATTTGAATGCCATTGAGATGTAAAGGCCATTGAGATGTGAAGGTCATTGAGATGTGAAGACCATTGATATGTTAAGATCATAAATATGTGAAGGAATTGAGATGTGAAAAACATTGAGATGTGAAAAACATTCAGATTGGAAGGTCATTGAGATTAAGAGAATTGAGATGTGAAGACCATTGAGATGTTAAGGGAATTGAGATGTTAAACCCATTGAGATGTGAAGGAAATTGAGATGTGAAGGCCATTGACATGTTAAGGACATTGAGATGTGAAAGTCATTGAGCTGTGAAGGCATTGAGATGTGAAGACCATTG